TCTCACGACAACAGGGCATGTTTGTTTTTTTCTTTGAGGGAAATAGTTTTGTTGAAGCTGTTGTTGGCCTGTGGAAAAATGTAATCATAAGAAATGACTCCGGAAAACCTGCAGATAGAGCCATAAGAAATTAATGCAACTGATTATTTAATGTTTAATGTTTTTTTTATAGGCAATCATTTAGGCTTTTTTAGTTCCAGGTTTAATATGTGCAATAAGTTCATTTCAATAAGTTTTGCAATAAACATTGTAACAGTCCGGCCCTCGACTAGTACCCATTTTTTTATTTTGGCCCACTGTGTATTTGAGTTTGACACCCCTGTGGTAGAATATTCAGAGTTCCCAAGAGCATATGCTATAAGCAGTCATTCCTGCCTCTGTCCATTAAGCTTCTCAACACTCACATTTTGGGTTAATATATATTTAAATGTTAGCCATGAGGGTTGTGCAACTGGTCGTCATTGTCAGTAGGTGCGACTGTGTATTGTGTTTGTGCAAACGGTGTATAAGTGATAATCTGCTATGTTTGTATACGTACAAGTATTTTTATATTTTTCTTTTGTACCTACTATTGCAACTTATTTTCTTAGATAGTTTATGCTTGTACCACCACACACCAAAGCACATTCCTTGTATGTGCAACGTACCTGGTAATAAACTTGATTCTGATGTGTGTGGAACTGCAGGATGGAGTCCAGAACAAATTTCCTTTCAGGGACAATAAAGTATATCGTATCATCGTATCGTAACAGAACAAATACAGCAAATACTTTTAAACATAAAAGTACTGCTTTGAAAAGGATACTCAAGTAAAAGTAAGTATAATCAGCAACGTCTGCTCAAGCTCAAAAGTAATGTAGAAAACTCGACTCGACTGTCTTGACTAGGTTTTTTTTGTCTTTAACATATTCAATTAATTCATATATTTTTTTCAGTGTCCTTGATTGTGGACCTTTTGCATATTTTGCTTTCAAATAACTCTTTTTTTCATAGTCATTCTAAAATAAGTCCCACTCATATTTGCCATGTTTTTCCGCTGCACGTCCACAAGTCACTGACAGTTTTAAATCCATTAAAAGCTGCTCAAGGACAAAGCGCTGCCTCTCAGAGCATCCGGAGTATTTCAGGTCCTGTTAATATGACTTTACTGCACAGCTAATTATAATTTTAATGAGACTATTTTTCACATAAATCCCAACGGAAACGTTCTTCTAACGGTGAAACAAAACTTATCAGACGATGTGCAGTCACATTGAGAAGTAAATGAGGGCAGTATGAGGTCGTATAAGATAGGTATTTTGAAACAGGTTTCCTATAACAACACAGTACGTAAATGCACATCTTTATCACATTAAATAAGTCAAGTTAGAATACAGCCACTGACAAAAATAGCACATTGCTTTATGATTACTTTTAAGGTTTTTATTATGTGGATTTTTTTCTAATTAATAAATGTTTTTAGGTAAAATTTTTTTTTAGTGGACAAATTACATTTTCAATAGCTTCCAAGTTGCATTAATGCCGCACCGATTTCTACACTCAAAAAGTAGATTACTCTTCTTTGTATGGGAGTTTTGAGCTGTATTTTATATGAATATTTAACTGAAAATTCTGCATTTTTTTACATCATTTTCTATCACTAGCTTCCATGTTATCCTAAGCCTGTCAATAGAATTTTTTTTCTATCTTTTGGGAATATTTTTATGAAAATGTTGCATTTATTTGCTGAAAAATGTTATTTCTTTCAATACCATCCAGAGAAGAAGATAAGATAGTACTTTATTACAAACACGACACTGTACATGTGTACGACACAATGAAGTTAAGGAACTGTGTGTGTCTGTGTCTGTCTGTCTGTCTGTCTGTCTGTGTGTGTGTGCAGAGTGCTGACTCACTACAGTTTAGGATCTGTTTGCACTTTGCTCTTGTTTGATCATCACGTCGTGTGGGTGGAGAAGAGTCTTAAAGGTCCCATGTCATGGCCATTTTCCACTGATCATAATTCCATTGTTGAGGTCTACTAGAATATATTTATATTGTGCAATTTTCCCAAATCACTGGTTTCTCATACAGCATCTCTGTAAACTACGTGTATTCACTGAATTTCACTCTCTGCCTTTAACGGCTCGTTGTAGCTCCAGTAGCTCCAGCCCCCACCCTCCCTGTGAGCACAGTGTGCTCTGATTGGTCGGGACGTTGTGAATGCGCTGAGCTCCGTGGAGGTGTGGTTTCCTTGTTTAGCGATACACAACCAAACACAGCCAAACTCACCCTGAGCACACACAAAGTCACAGCCGAAGTAAAAACAATAAGTGTGGCTTGATATTGAGTAAGAAAAAGGTTGATAAACGCTGTGAGAATGGGTCTGCAGAGAGAATTTTGCCGCGATCCCGACTGTCTGTTATCAGCCTGCAGCCAGGGAGGAGAGATCAGCAGACCTGCATGCACCGAGTGTGTGTGTGAGGAAGTCCGTGGATTGGTCAATTTGGACCAATAAGCG